CTCTCCCGTAGCCCTGTTCCTGCCCCTTTGCTGAATGCACGCACTTTAGAGGCAGAATCCCATGACTATAAGAGCATGAACTACAGAGTTGGGCTGTCTAAATTTATCTCAACCTTCCCACCTGATCTCGTTGCCCAATTCTGAGTTCCAAGTCCTGATATTTACCCTCCCCTTAATATTTTATAAACCAGGACCCAAAACCATAAAGCTGTAGCTTCTGTACAAGGAAAGCAGTCAAATTTAGGGGGAGACACGGGGTTGGGAATGAAGAGGGTCCAGAGAAGACCACTTACTCACCAATTGGAGACTCTGGCCTCTTTGCAGAGATGGTGATAGTCCTAGAAGACTCTGGGAATCAAAAAGTGAAAGTTTAAAGAGATAAGACCATCTCCCCTAGCCCTGTTCCTGCTCCTTTCCTGAATGCATGGACATTTGAGGCAGAATCCCATGGCTATAAGAAGAACATGAGGGCCGCCTGGGTGGCTCAGTGGGTTAAAGCCTCTGCTTTCGGCTCAGGTCATGGTCTCAGGGTCCTGGGATCAAGCCCCGCATCAGGCGCTCTGCTCAGCAGGGAGCCTGCTTCCTCCTCTCTCTCTCTGCCTGCCTCTCTGCCTACTTGTGATCTCTCTCTCTCTCTCTCTCTCTCTTTGTTAAATAAATAAAATCTTTTTTAAAAAGAAGAAGAAGAAAGACAACTACAGAGTGAGGCTGTCTAGATTTGAACCCCAGATTCATTACTAATTAGATGTGGGGCCCCTGTCAATAGACTTAATACCTATGGGCCAGTTTTCCCATCTGTGCAATGAAAATAATTATAATGCATCACAGGTTAATGTGAAATTTAAACCAATAACAGTAATAACAGCATAAAGCACACTGCTTGCATATGATAAGCACCCCACACGCGGTAGCTCTAGACTCGCCAAGTGCTCAGCCATACGCATCAGAAAGGTACGTGTTTTAATATACAGTGAAAATTGCTATAATAGATAGTCCATAGGACAGAGGAAACTATACAACCCAGCGTCAGAAAAGGCTTTCTTGAGGGACTGAGGCTATGAGGAAAGAGAAGGAAAAGCAGACCAAGTGGCTTGGATGCAGAGTGAGGAGATGCCAGGGACTCAGGAGAGCTTCATCTGACTCTGTGTGGCTGAGATTTGCATGAGGAATGAAAACAAGACTGGAGGGATCGACAGTGGCTGATCTAAGGGCATTGGATCCAAAAGTATTAAACATCAAGCTGAGAATCCCGGGCTATAATCCTAAGAGTGATGGGGAACCCAGAGGGATTTTGAACAGAAGATGATGAAGAATCTCATCAGGGTCTTAGAAAGAACTTGCTGGCATCAGGAATCAAACAGAGAGCTAGAGTCAGGTGGACCCAGTGGAGATATCAGACCTATACTCAGGGAATCTTTTAAGGTTTCTGTCTTGAGGGAAGTGGATAATTTTTCCAGGAAAAGTGAGGGGAAAGAGAATTACAGCATGAGGATGGGACTGCAGTGATAAGAAGAGGCAGTGGACAATAGGGGACTAAGGTTATGCACGTGGATTAGAGCAAAGTCAGAAGACACTGTATAGGAATGAGCGATGGTCCTCCCATCAAAGCCTTGGCTCTGCCATCTTTGAAATGGCCACATTTCCAAGAATGCACATCTCTCCCCATGCTCAGAACCCACCTCTATCCCATCCTTGATCCTCAAACCAAGGACTTTCCTTGGAAGAGTCAAGTGATCTCCTGGGGGGGACTTAAAGCCTACAGCCTTAGATGATGAGAGAAAACCCTAGCCTCATACTCTTTTCTGCTGGGTTCTGAGCTCTTGGTTACTCACTGATTGTAGAGCTTTTGTTGACGAGTGAGATGCTCCATTTCCTGGAGGCTTCTGGGAATTCTAAGCAAGAAGATAATAAGAGAGTGGATAAGGTCAGTCTTCCCAGTGATCCCCTACTCTGCATACCCCTTCTAAGAAATCTAGGGTTCCCAGAACCCCTTTCTCTGACACACACTGCATAAAACTGAGGAGAGAAACATGCAGAGTTGCTGTAAGACATGTCTTCTGTACCCCAGTGGCTGAATAAGAAATGGATCCATTTGAGGTGCCTGGGTGGCTCAGTGGGTTAAGTCTCTGCCTTCAGCTCAGATCATGATCTCAGGATCCTGGGATCGAGCCCCGCATTGGGTTCTCTGCTCAGCAGGGAGCCTGCTTCCCTCTCTCTCTCTGCCTGCCTCTCTGCCTACTTGTGATCTCTGTCTGTCAAATAAATAAATAAAATCTTAAAAAAAAAAAAGAAATGGATCCATTCATCCACTAATGGACCAACATTATTTCCTCTTTGGGGCTACTATGGATAATGTTGCTATGAACATTTATGTACCTGTTTTTGTATAAACATACATTTTTTGATTTGTTCATTTTGGGGGGGAGCACATAGCTACAATGGAATAGCTGGGTCCTATGGCAATTTTGATACAGTCACAGAATAATTCTTTTGAGGAAATGCTGCACCATTTTTCCACAGCAATGATCCCATGTTTCATTCCCACCAGCAATGCGTGAGGGCATCCACATTCTCAACAACCCCTCTAGTTGTGTATTATTATTATTATTCATTACTGTTACTGCCATTCTGCTGGCTATGATGAATTTCGTGGTATGTGACTTATCTCGGTTTAAAAAGTAAGTAGTGGACCAGGAGATGTGTGCAAGCTCAGTTCTTGGTAACCAGCCTCTGAACACAAGAGAATCCCCTCCCTACTAAGGCCATTTTCTTAACCAGGGACCCCCCTAGTTACATGGGCACCAAAACATTTCCTAAAACCCCTCAACCTATAAATATGTAGCTCCTATTAAGGATGGGGACAATCTTGGTGGACCTTTCTGTGATGGAACCAGCTCATCAAAGCCTAGCTTGTGCTCAGGAATCTGTAGTAAAGTGAGAACTTAGATATCATTTGCTCTGTTATTTCTCTTCCTGTGACCCTCATTAATAAATTGTTGTTTGAGGGGCACCTGGATGGCTCAGTCCATTAAGCATCCAACTCTTGGCTTCTGCTCAGGTGATGCTCTCATGGTTCTGAGGTGAAGCCCTACATGGGGCTCTGCACTGACTGTGGTGCTTGCTTAAGATATTCTCTCTCTCTCTCTCTCTCTCTCTCTCTCTGCCACTCTCCACCTCACATCTGCATACTCTTGCTCTCTCTCTCTTAAAAAAATAATAATACATAAATTTTTATTTGAATTTAGATTAAACATGAGGAAGTATCTGTCTACCATGGAATACTATGCAGTCATAAAAAGGAACACATTGTTGATAACACACAATAACTTGGATGCATCTCAAGGGCATTGTGCTGAGTGAGAAAAGTCAATCCCAAAACATTCCATGATAGGTGAACCTTTCCATGTATATATAACATTGTCAAAATGATGAAATTCAATAGAACAAATTAGTACTTGTACTTGCAGGGGGTAGAAATGGTGGGAGGGGAGAGGGTAAATATAATCATAAAGGGGTAGCGGGAGGGATATCTTTGTGGGGTTTAGAGTTCTGTATCTTGAGAGCCGTGGTGGTTACACAGATCTACACATGTGATAAATTGTGATAAATCACCATAGAGCTAAGTACAAATACCGTGTCAATGTCAGGTCCCTGGTTTTATGTTGTTCTGTAATTATGCAAGACATAGCCGTTGGGGAAATCTAGGCAAAGGGTATACGGAATTCTTCTGCATTGCCTTTGCAACTTCTTGTGAACCTACCTCTCAAAATTAAAAGTTTTAAAATTCCAATCAGAAATACACACACACACACACGCACACACACACACACACACACGCACACACATGCACACACACGCACACACACACACACGCGCGCGCACACGCACACGCGCGCACACACGCGCACGCACACACACGCACACACACGCACACACACGCACACACACGCACACACACGCACACGCACACACGCGCGCGCGCGCACACACGCACACGCACACGCGCGCACACACGCACACGCACACACACACGCGCACACACACGCACACGCACACACACACGCACGCACGCACACGCACGCACACGCACACGCGCGCACACGCACACACGCACGCACACGCACACACGTGTGTGCACGCACACGCACATGCACACACGTGTGTGCACACATACACACGTGCATTGCGCCTCGTTTGGCAAGACAGCCTCCATACCGCCCTCCACCACACATGTCAGCACATTCTTGTCCGACTTGGCTCTTTTCAACATGCTTCTGTTCCTCACGGTTTGGGTCTACCCTGCGACACAGGGAGTGTTGGCAAGGTCACAGACTGATGCACAACTTCTTAAGGCACAGGCTGGTATGCGATACACCAGAATCAAGTAAGATGCTTTGAGGATGAGAATATGATGGCCCACACAAAATTTAGGGCAGTCCTTCTCAAAGTGACATCCCAGAGCAGCAGCCTCAGTGTCACCTGGAAACTTGTTAGAAATGAACATAACTGGGGGTGCCTGGGTGTCTCAGTCAGTTAAGCGTCTGCCTTTGCCTCAGGTCATGATCTCAGGGTCCTGGGACCAAGCCCAGCATTAGGCTCCTTGCTCAGTAGGGAGTCTGTTTCTCCTCCTGCCTGCTGCTCTCCCTACCTGTGCATGCTCTCTCTCTCTCAGTCTTTCTCTCTCAAATAAATAAATAAAATATTTTCAACAACAACAACAAAAAATGAACATAACTAGACCCCACCCCAGACCTTCTGAATCAGGAACTGGTGATATCCAGAAGCCTGGGTCACCTCCAGGTGATTCTCAGGCCCCCTAATGTTTGAGAACCATGGCCAATGGAATCAGAGACTCAAAACTAGCGTCCAGGAATCTAATATTTTATAAGCCACTCGGATTATTCTTTTCCACATTAGACATTATAAATCATCCCCCTAAGGCTGGAGAGAAGTGGAGATATAGGGCAGCACAGTAATATCTATCTAATATTATTATACCCACGTTCTTTACACACACAAATAAGTGATTTTTTAAATCAAATTTGTGAAAGAGACAAGGGAATTAAATAGAAAAATCTAGATAAAGGGGAGAAAGAAAAGAAGGGGTCTGTGGGTCTATACCCCAGACACTGGGATAAATCCTGCAGAATTTACCTGTCACAGAGGAAGGTGGTTCCGTGGGTAACAAGGCGGGGGTCACAGAAGTCCCTGGGAAATCAGAAAGAGAGAGAGTTCTGTGCTCTGTTAGCTATGGGTCCTGAGCAAACAAAAAAGCATTCTGCGACCCAGTTTCCTCACCTAGAAGATGAATACAAAGAAGCTCACATCACTGGACGGTCCTGGGTGTTAAATAGCACACCAAGCACATTCTGAGACTAATTAAAAATGACAATCTCTGTAGCTGCCCTCCCTGCTCTTTGAACTTCAGTTCTGTCCCTTTTTCTGGACCTCTGTGATGTGCACCTGACTTTGTCCCAAGGAGCAAAACTGGCTCTTAAGTCCTGGGAAGCAGATGAGAAGACAGAAACCATGGGATACATGTAGGGAGAAAGGGTGATGCCTGTGTCACAGAACACAGCCCCTTTCCAACCCCACCACCCTAGCTTTGTAGCTACATCAACCTGCCAACCTCCTTTCACCCCAGGACATTTGCTCATACAATCCCACACACCTGCAGCCCGTCCCACTGCTCTTACTCTGCCCTAAGAGCAAGGTCAAACATTGGCTGCTCAGAGAGGTGTTCCCAAACTGCCTGCCTTTCGAGGTTCTAACAGCACTGTGTACTTCTAACTCATTAGGCGTGTCCCAGGGACAACAGTGCGGTGTTGGATACTCTCTAAGCCTGTTTGCTCTAATTACTATATGTACATATCACATGTGTGTGTGTAATACGTGTGTGTGTAAAGGAAAAGATACCATAGAGAGAGTGAGTTTCAAGTCCCCAGCAGAGCACAGCCACAACAGAGACACTTTTGAAATACGTTCAATGAAAGAAACAATAATTGAGCAGGGACCCAAAAAAAGACAAATCTATAAAGGCCAGAAGATTAGTGGTTTCCTTGGGCAGGAGGGAGGGGGAGGGAGGGGCTGCATGCTGGCAGGAAGGATGAGATATGGTGGTGGAGATGTTCTAAAACTGGACTGTGGTGGTGACCACAGAACTCTAAATTTACTAAAAACCGCTGCATTGTACAACTCAAACAGGAGACTGTCTGTTCAGCTCCTATTACGTGCCAGGAGCTACTGTCTGTGCTGGGCATACAGCAGAAAAGAAAAGGGACACAAATGTCTGTCTTTCTGGAGCTTACTTTCCAGGATGCAGGGGGCAGACAGGTGACAAACACCATAAGTCAGAACAATGTATGCACAGGTGTGGATGCCATGGAGAAAAATTGGGCAGAGAAGATGGCAGATAGCATCAGAGAGGCAAGAATGGGACCTTTGATAGAAGTTGAAGGAAGCAGTGGGTTGAGCCATGAGATCTGGAGAAAGCCTCCCAGCAGGTGCAAGGTCCCTGAGGACACAGTGAGCCTGAGTATATGAGGAAAAGCAAGACGGGATGTAGTCAGTAATATTGTAACCACTTTGTACGGTCACAGACGGTAACTGGACTTATCCATGGTGACCATTGCATAGTGTATATAAATATCAAATCACTATATTGTACACCTGAAACTAATACACCATATGTCAGTTAGTCTTCAATTTAAGTGGGGGATGCTCGTGGTTCTAAGGCAGAGTGGATGAAGGCAGAGCAGCAGGTCAGGTGAGCAGACAGGTAGAGAAGGGGCTTGGTGAGACGAGAGGAGTGAGTGCTATGGGCTTTGAGCAAAATCATCTAATTTTAACAGCCTGCTGTAAAGGGGTTCCTCTTGCCATCGTTCTGCAAACATTCTAAAGAGGCAAAGGTATACAAACTTGCAACCAGTAGATGCAAATAAGTCCTGGAGATTAATGCACAGCATACAGTCAACTGCACTATATTCCAGATTTAGTTGCTAAGAGACAAGATCTGTGGTGTTCTCACCACAAAAAAAAAGCAATGGCAATTATGTGACAGGTTGGAGGTATTAGCTAATGCTCCAGTGGTGATATGTTGCAACACATAAATGTATCAAATCAACACGTGCTACATATTATACAATGTTATATGTCAATTATATCTCAATTAATTGATTTTTTTAAATTAAAGGGGACAAAGGTAGACACAGAGGGACCAGTATATGGAGCAAATCAGTTCTACATGCAGATGTGCTCCCTTGTCAGATCAGGGACAGGCTTCAGAGATGTGGTAGGAAGCATGAGTTGGGCAAAGACAGCAGGATTTACAAGAAAATGCCTCTGAGTATTGCAGCAGAAAAATGTGTCCTTTTAAATTTTCATGTTATTTTTTTTCTTTTATTTATTTATTTATTCGACAGACAGAGATCACAAGCAGGCAGAGAGGCAGGCAGAGAGAGAGGAGGAAGCAGGCTCCCTGCTGAGCAGAGAGCCCGATGCGGGGCTCGATCCCAGGACCCTGAGATCATGACCCGAGCCGAAGGCAGCGGCCTAACCCACCGAGCCACCCAGGCGCCCCTCATGTTATTTTTAAATGTACATTATATGTACCATCTTTAACATTCATTTTAAGTGCACAGTTCAACAGTATTGTTCAGTTCAATGCATTCACATTGTTGTGCAAGAAATCTCAGAACTTTTTCATCTGCAGACCTGGAATTCTATGCCCATTAAACAATACTAACTCCACTTTTTCCCTCCATCAGCCTTTGGTAATTCCCTTTCTACTCTCTGCCTCTATGGCTTGGATGACTTTCAAATGCCTCCCGGGAGTGGAATCAGATGATATATGGCCTTTTGGGGCTGCTTTATTTCATGTAGTGTGACGTTCTCCAGGTTCATCTGTACTGTAGCACATGGCAGGATTGCCTTCCTCTTTGGGGCTGCATAATAGTCCGTTGTGTGTCTGCACCACGGTTTCTTTATGAACTATGTTGTCCTCTTTTGAAAGAGGCATGCTGTAAGAATGAAAGACTGATAGTGGCTACAATGCAAACACAGCTCAAAAGCATGAGGCTGACTGAGAGAAGCCAGTCACAAAAGACCCCGTGTTCTAGGACTCCATATATATGCAGTTCCCTCAAAGAGGCAAACTGATAGAGATAGGAAGTCATTTGTGGTTGAACGGAAAATGACAGCAAACAGGTGCCAGAGGTCCTGCAGAGGTGATGGAGATGGGCCGACTGGGTTGTGGTGATGGTTGCACAACGCTGTGAACTCACTGAATACCATGGACACGTAAAGTGAGTAACCTTATAGGTCTAGAAACCATACCTGAATAAAACAGAATAGAAGGCCATTTCTAGTGTATAATGACCTCACTACAAAAATAAGTCTGAATACAAGTACATTTTCATGTTACCCTGTACTATATTAATCCACTGGAGACCAAAAGGATAAGACTTTTCCCTTTGCTGGGAGATGGATAGGGTCATTAGTCTTTTGTATACTGGGGCATTTCATTTTTTTAATTTTACTTTATTTTTCCAGTGTTCCAAGATTCATTGTGTATACACCACAGCCAGTGCTCCATGCAATATGTGCCATTTTGTTTTTTAATATTCATTTTTAATTTTAGAGAGTACATAAGCAGGGTAGGGAGGGCAAAGTGGGAGGGAGTGGAGGGGGGAAAGAATCTCAGGCAGACTCCATGTTGATCACAGAGCCCCATGCAGGGCTCCATCTCATGACCCTGAGATCATGACCAGAGCCAAAACCAAGAGTCTGATAGTTAAAGAACTGAGCCACCCAGGTGCCCCTATTGAGGCATTTTCAATAAATAAGTCATTGGGGCGCCTCACTGACTCCCTAGGAAGAGTATGCCACTCTTGATCTCAGGGTCAGGAGTTTGAGCCCCATGATGGGTTTAGAGATTATAAAAAATAAATAAATAAACTTTGGGGCCCCTGGACAGTGCCATGGGTCGAGCATCTGACTCTTGGTTTCAGTCAAGTCACGGTGGTATCAGTCCGTCCCACACCAGGCTCCGAGCCCAGCATGGAGTCTGCTAAACTTTCTCTCCCCCCTCCCTCTGCCTCTCCCAGTATGCTCACTCTCTCTCTCTCTCTCTCTCTCAAGTAAATTAACCTTTAAAAAAAATAAAATGAACTTTAAATAATTCCGTTGCTTCAATACTTGTGAAGGAACATAGCAGTAAAACTGTGGTGAACAGAAAACATCAATAATTGTTTTTAAATCACATCAGTTGCTGTAAAGGATTTAGCAGCGAGCGTTGCATGGAGAGGCCTCGTACTTAGACTATTGCAAATAAGAAAGACAGAGTATGTTTGCATGTAAAGAGAGTCAAAGTTTCCTTCCTATTATAGTGGCATTTTTCAAAGTAATTTCCATAAGTTCTTCGCTGCTGTGTGTTTGTTTGTTTCAAATCTAGACAAGACAAAAGGCATTATCACTGGTATTAAGAATTATTTTTTCTTATTTCTTTTCTATTTCTATATACTCTGCAGTAGATAAAGTAACAGCCTCTCAAACATGCTCATGTCCCAATCCCCAGGCCCTGTGGATATGGTGTCTTACATGGTAAATGGGAGGGTGTCGGGTGGGCACCTGGATTTTCCAGGTGGGCACAGTGTCATCTCAGGGTCCTTAAACATGGAAGCAGGAGGCAGGGAGACAGAGAGACTGACGATGCTATGTTGCTGGCTTCTGTGATAAAGGAAGGGACCATGGGAGCCAAGGGGTACAGGCACTTCTAAAATCAGGGAAAAGCACAGGACAGATTCCCCCCTGGGCCCTCCAGAAGGAACGTAACCCAGCTGACACCTTTGTTTTGTCCCAGGGAGACCCATTTGGTACCTAACCTCCAGAAATGGAAGGTAATAATACATTTATGGTTTTTTAAGCCACTAGATTAGTGGTGATTTGTGACAACTAATATACCCTCCAAAGCTTCATGCCTCTCCTGGCTTCCCACCTCCTTCACACATGTTGGCCCTCCCCTGAAACTTCAGCAGAGAGTGCAAGAGCTGAAGAAGGAAGGCTTGGTCTGCAGCTCCCTCACCTGTGACCACAAGCTCCAGGGGGTCGCTGGGAGCCGACCACAGGTACGGCAGCTTGCTGGAAAAGCTGTAGCATCGGTAGGTCCCACTGTGGGCAGCAGTCACTGCGGTGATGGGGAAGTCAGCCCCATACTGCTTCTCAGATCCCTTCTGGGGCCCAGCGTCCCCTTCCTTGTACAGAGCAAATTGGTCAAAACCGAATTGGCTTCGACACTGGAGAGTGACTTCCCCTCCTGGGGACACAGCTGGACTGGGCTGGGCTGAGATCGAGGGCTTGTTGAGATAAACTCCTGGGAGAAAAGAGAGCTCTGGTGTTAAAGACTGTGGCCAACATGTTGGCCACAGGGGTGGGCAGGTCCCCCCACCTCCTAAGAGCTAGGGAACTTTCCAGGTATATCCATCCTTAGAGAACCCACTTGTCCTGCCCCCAGCTCACAAAAGGGTTAAGGGAGCATAACCAGGATCCTATCACGGTGCCTGGGCTCAAATCCTCATTCTGTCCCTTAGGGGCTGTGTGATCCTGGAGAGAAATCCACCCTTCTAACTGTGCCCCAGTGTTCTTTACTGTAAAAATGAATCGTTGAACACTATGTCAAGAACTAATGTACTACATGTTGGTTAATTGAATTTAAATTTAGAAAAAGAAAATGAGAATGACTGAATGAAGCAACGTAGCACAGTTGCTTAATACATAGGGAGCTCCCAAACTACGACGGTAGTAACAAAATAGCAAACTGCTGTAGTGCAGTTTTTAAACCAAAATTAATTCAAATAATTCACACTGAACAAAATAACCAAGATTGTAAACAAAAACACTCCATCTGTGACTCATGGAGAGGCAAAAGGCTCAAAACGCTTTCATGCATTTTTATGGTTAATTCTTTCCACACTATTAACATAGTTGAAAAAATTGAAAAACTTTAAACTAGGGTATTCAAATTCATAAATTATTTGAAGTTTAAATATTTGATTCATACAAAAAAAATTTTAAAGAATTCATTATCCTTTTACTCTCCTGGCCTTAGGGAAACAAACTCATCAATGATATTTTCAAAATCTCTCCGGAAAATAGCCACTTGAAAATGCATTAGAAATAAAAGCACAAGCCGAGAACATTTTATTCCATCAAAAAGTAAAAAAGAGGGGCGCCTGGGTGGCTCAGTGGGTTAAGCCTCTGCCTTCGGCTCAGGTCATGATCCCAGGGTCCTGGGATCGGGCCCCACATCAGGCTCTCTGCTCAGTGGGGAGACTGCTTTCCTCCTCTCTCTCTCTGCCTGCCTTTCTGCCTACTTGTGAGCTCTGTCTGTTGAATAAATAAATAAAATCTTTAAAAAAAAAAAAAAAGTAAAAAAGAGGGGCGCCTGGGTGGCTCAGTGGGTTAAGCCTCTGCCTTCGGCTCCGGTCATGGTCTCAGGGTCCTGGGATCAAGCCCCATGTCAGGCTCTGCTCAGTGGAGAACCCGCTTCCCCCCTCTCTCTCTGCCTGCCTCTCTGCCTATTTGTGAGCTCTCTCTCTCTCTGTCAAATAGATAAAATCTTTAAAAAAAAAAAAAGTAAAAAAGAAGGCATTGGAATGTGGATAGAGCGTAGACATGTTGCCTTTGGCATTGGGCTCAGGTACGGCTCGAAAGGGCCCTGCCTCATTCTGTCTTGACTTAAAAGTGTGATACTTTGTTCAGCGTGGGTGTTTTTGCATTGATTTTGATTGTTTTAGAAAGATCCTGCATTGGGGTTCCTGGGTGGCTCAGTTGGTTAAGCGTCTGCCTTCAGCTCAGGTCACGATCCCAGGGTCCTGGGATCCAGCCCCACATCAGGCTCCCTGCTCAGCAGGAAACCTGCTTCTCCCTCTCCCTCTATGTCTGCTTGCGTTCCCTCTCTTGCTGTGTTTCTGTCAAATAAATACATAAAATCCTAAAAGAAAGAAAGAGAGAGAGAGAGAATGAAGAAAGGCAGGCAGGAAGGAAGGAATTGCACTGACCTAGCACTTGCATACGCTCACTGCACCCCCCCCCCAAGAAAATAGCTAGCACTTCGATCCCCACCCAACCCCAGCCCCCTGGGTCTCAGGATTCTCTGAGTCATCCCCCTCCTCACCCTCCTGGAGCCCCCAGGCCATAGGTGCAGCTGCCCCCCACAGCCCTCCAGGTACCTGTAGCGACCAGCTCCAGCCGGTCGCTGGGGGGAGACCAGAGGCTCCCATTCTGGTAGGAGCATCGGTAGCACCCTGCTAAACGTTCCTCCATGGACGGGATGAAGAGGACGGACTGATCCTGGTAGTGGCCGGACCTCAGCTTCTCCAGGCGGTACAGGTCCACGTCCGGAGGCCCCTGGCAACGGATGGTAACTGGCGTCCTCAGCGGCACTAGGGAGCTAGGCAGGGCCTGGAGGGAGGGCTTGGGCAGCAGGCCTGGAAGGGAAGTGGAGCCTGGTGGAGGGCCGCTTTCAAACAGACCCTCCTCCCGAGGCCCCCCACTCCTCCCACCCTCCCAGGCCTTGTGCAGGCGGAGCCCAGAGGAGGGACCCGGAACTCCAGGGGAAGGACTCACCGTGCTGAGCTTCCACCACCTGCCCCAGACACAGCCCTGAGCAGAGAAGAAAACCACCAAAGGCTAGGACCTTCCGAGCCCACACTTCTCAATGCAAGGTGGGTGACGACACTTCTGCAGGCAGTAACTTTCTCTCGTCTTCGCTTTTCTAAGGACACACACTCACATAATTGAGGCACCAGAGGCGGCCAGCCATAGAAGGCTGCATATTGTACAATTCTATGTATCTGAACCCTGCTCACTAGGTCAGTCTGCATGCACACAGAGAGATTAGTGGTTGCCGGGGGCTGGGGAAGCAGGATGGAGAGCTGATTGTCAGGGGTATGGTTCTTTCTGGAGTGGTGACAGTGTCCTGGAATGAGGCAGAGAGGATGGCTGTGCGCCTTGTGAATGTACTGTCATGAATGATAAATTTTATGCTGTTTATTATTTTACCACAGTTTTTTAAAAGACAGAAACATTTTTCAAAATGCTGGAGCAAACAATCCTAAAATTTGCATGGAACCAGAAGAGACCCCGAATCGCCAAGGAAATGTTGAAAAAGAAAAACAAAGCTGGGGGCATCATGTTGCCTGATTTCAAGCTTTATTACAAAGCTGTGATCACCTAGACAGCGTGGTTCAGGCACAAAAACAGACACACAGACCAGTGGAACAGAGTAGAGAGCCCAGATATGGACCCTCAACTCAATGGTCAAATAATGTTCGACAAAGCAGGAAAGAATGGCCAATGGAAAAAAAACAGTCTCTTCAATAAATGGTGCTAGGAATATTGGAGAGCTATATATAGAAGAATGAAACTCGACCATTCTCTTACACCATATGCAACGATAAACTCAAAATGGATGAAAGACTTCAGTGTGAGACAGGAATCCACTGGGGCACCTGGGTGGCTCAGTCATTAAGCATCTGCCTTCAGCTCAGGTCATGATCCCAGGATCCTGGGATCGAGTCCCACATCCTGCTCAGTGGGGAGTCTGCTTCTCCCTCTCCCTCTGCTGTTCCGCCTGCTTCTGCACTCTCACTCATGATCTCTCTCTCTCTCAAATAAATAAATAAATAAATAATCTTTTTTTTTAAAAAGGAATCCATCAAAATCCTAGAGGAGAACATAGGCAGTAACCTCTTCAACATTGGCCACAGCAACTTCTTTCAAGACCTGTCTCCAAAGGCAAAGGAAAGAAAAGCGAAAACTTTGGGACTTCATCAAGATGAAAAGCTTCTGCACAGCAAAGGAGACAGTCAACAAAACAAAGAGGCAACCCACGGAATGGGAGAAAATATTTGCAAATGACACTACAGAAAAGGCCTGATATCCAAGACCTATAAAGAACTCCTCAAACTCAACACACACAAAACAGATAATCAAGTCAAAAAATGGGAAGAACAAACAAACAGACACATGAAAAAATGTTCATCATCACTCGCCATCAGGGAGATTCAAATTAAAACCACATTGAGATACCAGCTTCCACCAGTTAGAATGGCCAAATTAGCAAGACAGGAAACAACATGTGTTGGAGGGGATGTGGAGAAAGGGGAACCCTCTTACACTGTTGGTGGGAATGCAAGTTGGTGCAGCCACTTTGGAAAACAGTGTGGAGATTCCTCAAGAAATTAAAAACAGAGCTTCCCTATGACCCTGCCATTGCACTACTGGGTATTTACCCCAAAGATACAGATGGAGTGAAAAGAAGGGTCATCTGTACCCCAATGTTTATAGCAGCAATGGCCACGGTCGCCAAACTGTGGAAAGAACCACGATGCCCTTCAACGGACGAATGGATAAGGAAGATGTGGTCCATATACACTATGGAGTATTAGGCCTCCATCAGAAAGGATGAATCCCCAACTTTTGTAGCAACATGGACGGGACTGGAAGAGATTATGCTGAGTGAAATAAGTCAAGTAGACAGAGTCAATTATCATATGGTTTCACTTATTTGTGGAGCATAACAAATAGCATGGAGGACATTAGGAAAAGGAGAAGAGAAGTGAGTTGGGGGGAATCAGAGGGGGAGACAAACCATGAGAGACTGTGGACTCTGAGAAACAAACTGAGGGCTTTGGAGGGAAGGGGTTGGGAATTGGGAGACCCTGGTGGTGGGTATTAAGGAGGGCATATAGGGGCGCCTGGGTGGCTCAGTGGGTTAAAGCCTCTGCCTTCATCTCAGGTCATGATCTCAAGGTCCTGGGATCAAGCCCCACATTGGGCTCTCTCCTCAGCAGAGAGCCTGCTTCCCCCTCTCTCCCTGCCTCTCTGCCTACTTGTGATCTCTCTCCCTCTGTGTCAAATAAGTAAAATCTTTCAAAAAAATAATAAGGGCACATATTGCATGGAGCACTGAGTGTGGTGCCTAAACAATGGATCTTGGAACACTGAAAATATAAAATAAAATTTTTTAAAATGAGATTAAAAAAAAACATACATTTAAAGGCACCTGGGTAGCTCAGTCGTTAAGCGTCTGCTTGCAGTTCAGGTCGTGGTCCCAGGGTCCTGGGATCAAGCCCCACATCGTGCTCTCTGCTCAGCAGGGAGCAGGATTCTCCCTCTCCCTCTCCCCCTCCTTGCGTTCCCTCTCTCGCTATGTCTCTGTCAAATAAATAAATAAATAAAATTTAAGAAAAATATATACTTAAAAACTAATGATGTGCTAAAACTAATGATGATGACTAACATAACACAAACAAACAAACAAACAAAGCCATCCAGGAATTTCTTACACCCCTCCCTATGCACACACTTTGGACAACTCTAAGGAGAATTATCTCCTCTCTGAAAAGGGGGCTGTGTCCAGGGTGTAGTCTCTTTTTTATCCTAGCTTTATCAATATATAATTGATGTGCAATGTTGTGTAAATTCAAGGTGTGTGTGTTGATTTGATATTTATATATCGCAAAATGATTTCTTTCACAGCGTTAGCTAATATTAACCAATTATTATTACATAATTAGCTAATATTAGCTAATTAGCTAACACCTCCATCCTGTCACATAATTACCATTTCTTTTTTTGTGGTGTGAACATTTAGGATATTCTGCAAGAAGGTGTTATTGGTTATAATCCCCATGCTGTAGGGGGTGCCTGGGTGGCTCAGTTGGTTAAGCATCTGCCTTCAGCTCAAATCATGATCCTGGGGTCCTGGGATTGAGCCCCAGGTTGGGCTCCTTGCTCAGTGGGGAGCCTGCTTCTCCCTCTGCCTGATGCTCCCCCATTCATTCTCTCTCTCTCTCTCTCTCTCTCTCTCTCTCCCGCTCCCACTCAAATAAAATCTTTTTAAAAAGAGATCTCCATGCTGTACATAAGATCTAGATGGGATCTGTTACATTGTATCATGTCTAGAGATCACCACTGTGTTGTTAATCATGGATTTCCCACTGTTTTAACCTTTTGTCTAAATCAATATTCTGGGGCACCTGGGTGGCTCAGTAGATTAAGCGACTGCCTTCAGCTCAGGTCATGGTCTCCAAGTCCCAGGATCAAGTCGCGCATCCGGCCCCCTGCTCAGCAGGGAGTCTGCTTCTCCCTCTGACCCTCCCTACCTTCTCATGCTCTCTCTCTCTCAAATAAATAAAATCTTTACAAAAAATTAATAAATGCTTTCTCTTATAAAAAAGTAAACCAATATTCTGTAATTACATTATTATGACTGTGCAAATATTATTCACACCTGAGGAGTGTAGTATTATACCTGTATATTTTTCCTATTTATTGTCCCTAGAATCAGTATTTGTCTGGTTTAGTGACATCCGCATAGTTTTCCTTGACCCTGTGTCTAATTCTTTCCACAGTTTCAAATAGCCTTCCCATGTCATCTTACACACCTATCAAACTGCATAATTGATAAATTCCATCTTCTCCCTTGGAGGTGACTTCCCCCATTTTGTCTTCTACCTTCTCTAGGTTGAACAACTGCCTTTTTTCTCTCAAGCTGGCTTTTTTTTTTTTAACTTTTTGCCAAGTTGGTAGCATTACCTGCTTTAGTCTTGCTAGGGTTGTCAGATTTAGGATATAAAAACACAAGACTCCCACTTAAATATAAATTTCAGATAAGCAATGAAATTTTGTTTGCATAGCATGACCCATGAGATTTAATGGGATATACTAAGCTTACAAAATTATTTCTTGTTTATGCGAAATTAGATTTCACTGACCATGCTGTATGTTACCCGGTAACTCTTATCCTTACCCACACGCAGACATGCTCGCGTGTGTGCTTCTTGCCTCCACGATAAACGTAAGGAAACTGAACAGAGAGGCTGAACAGTTTCTTTCAGTTCACACAGCTGGGATGGGGCTGAACCTGGATCATTGCTGACTCACACTTGTACCCAGCCCCCTCTGAACCTCTTGTTTACACCAGGTTCTGCTCCCTGTGCCCAAGCTCGACCCACATCTTTGTCCACTTCCCAACACAACCCCGCCGTGGTCCTCTCATGGGTTTCCATCCAGCTTTCTAACGTGACTGGACATACTCCCTGTGCGCTTCTGAGCACTTCCTGGATGGACTCTGACTCACCACAGCCCTACTGGTTAGGGACCATTATTAGCCCCTTTTATAGATCAGACTATGGAAACAGTATCCTGTCCCCCGTCCTGCAGCTGGTAAGCGTACATTCAAACACCAGTGGCATACTTTGGTCATAAAGAATGTGAACCTGGCACTAAACTCTTGAGTTTATTTGAGCCCTAGATGCGTTACCTTGAAGAAGTTCCTTAATCCCTCTGGACCTCAGCTTCCTCGTCTGTGAAATGGGAACATGAATAGGGCCCTACCTCATCAGGCCATTCTGGGAATTAAATGTCCGCTAAGAAGCATGGAGTGGGCTCAAGCCCACAGTACGTGCCAATGAGTGTGTTAATGAATGACTGACAGGTGGTCTGTGCTCATGGCGTGTTTCCTTATCCCCATCGCACAGCTGTTCCTTCCTGCTTGGCCCCTTGAGCCTCTGTCCTTTTAGCAATAAGGCTCTTCTGAATAAATGAGGGAACTGGGCACATGACCGGCCTCACGGGGGCTGGCATAAGCACACAGGATCCTACCACCAACCCCGCTAGGAGAGACTCTTCCCGCAGACTTGCTGAGGTGCCGTTGACAAAGAGAAGCCGTATATCCAGGGTGAGCAACGTTGCGATCTGATGGACATGCACACTGTCAGGTGATCAACACAATCAAGCTAATTAACCCGTCCCCCGCCTCACATAGGTTGTTTTGATTTTTATTTTTTGTTTTGTTTTTATTTATTTTGTATTGTGTTATGTTAGTCATACAGTACGTCATTAGCTTTTGATGCACGGTTCCTTGATTCATAGTCTGCATGTAACACCCAGCGCTCCCTGCAGTCCGTGCCCTGCTGAATACCCACTACCGGGCTCACATAGGTTGTTTTGATTTTTGGTTTGGTTTGGTTTGTTTTGGTGAAAATGCATAAGATCTACTCTGTCAGCAAGTTTCTACAGTATTGTTGCCTTAATCACTCTTCTGTGCATTAGATCCCCAGAACTTACTCATCTTACAACCAGAAGGTTGTTCTCTGTCCCCCTCCCTCCCGTTTCCCACCTGCAGCACCCCCAGACTCTGGCAACCACCAGTCTGCTCTCTACCTTCATGAGTCCAACCTCTCTAGATTCTGCATGTAAGCGAGACTGTATGGTGTTTTCTTCCTGCATCTGGCTTATGCCACTTGACGTCATGGCCTCGGGGCTCACCCGAATTGTTACAAACGGCAGGATTATTCATTCCTGTGCCGCGAGGTTTGCTGGCAAATCTGTAATCTAGTCCTGATGTCACCAAGTCCACATTAAAAATATAAATGAATGAATGAATGAATGAGTGTATAGACAGATAGATAAATAAAATTTGAAGACTGGTATACAGAGACAAATTTTCAGCCAAAACCGGAAGACCTGTTTATTTCCTGACCCACCCAGCAAGAGACTAGAATGAAGTAACAGACAAACACCACCTCCCTGGGTCCCAGTTTTCCCAACCCACCAATGAAGGGGCCCTCACAGGTCACCCGTTGCCCTGAAATTCTTTTCTGATGCAATTTTTTTAACATTCTTAGTCTCATAGCCCACTGCCTATCCCTCAGCATTTCCCAGACCAACCCTCGGGACTCACCAAGACAGAGAAGGGCAGACAGGGGTGCGGCCATGGTCCTTCAGCCCGTCCAGAGCTCGGTAGCCCAGGAGGGAAGCCTCAGGGGCTGGAGCGGAGACACAGAATGTGATGAGGACGCAGCAGCCTCTCCCCCCTTCCCTCATCAGCCTGGCTTTTCCCACATGAGGCTCATCAGGCTGGAGCCATCCCCTCAATAGAATGACTTGCACACAAGCTCACAGAAGCTCCTTTATCTTCTGTCACCAGCCCAAGCCGGCCAGGCACTGAGATGGGCTGTTACCTGATGGACCTCCTTAGCAGAACAGTTTCATGGAGCTTTCTTTGGGGGGGGGGGACATTTGAGATGATATCTGCTCATAAGAAATATTCATGGAAGACCAGTAGGTTCAGCAGGACCCAAAGCCTGGAGAGGTGAAGAGCTTGGCATTTTCATGTAGGTGGGAAGTGGTTAGTGTGGCTGGAATCAAGGACCATAAAGCTGAGACTGGAGAAATGTTAGGGGTCATATCAGGGTGTCCCAACCTCGGCTCTGTTGACTTCTGGAACCAGGTGACTGCTGGAGTGGGAGCAGGCTGTCCTGTGCTTCTGGGAGGCTCATGGCCAGTCGAGAACCACTGGGTTGGATCATTCAGGAGGTTCTGAGACTGAGATACACTGGGAGTGCAAATATCTCTTTGAAATCCTACTTACTCACTTTTCAGGCACTATTTTGTTTGATCCTCACCCAAGGCTGAGAAACAGGTGTGGCAGGCTTAGTCCCATTCAAACAGGAAAACTTGAACTTGGAAGAAAATGTATTTTTCTAGTTGGAGCGTGGGTGCTGGGAGCTGAGTAATCGACTTCTTCTGGCCTAGCCCATGCACACCTGTATTGAGACCATCCCCCTCTTCCATGATTGTTCTCTGCCCTGTGGTTCTCATTGCAATTCTCTACCTCCAAGGAGAAGCTCTGAGATAATCCATGCAAATTCATTCATCTCTGCAAAACTTTATTTTGGGGGCACCTGGGTGGCTCAATGGGTTAAAGCCTCTGCCTTCGGCTCAGGTCATGATCCCAGGGTCCCGGGATCGAGCCCCGCATCAGGCTCTCTGCTCAGCAGGGAGCCTGCTTCCCTTCCTCTCTCTCTGCCTGCCTCTCTGCCTACTTGTGATCTCTGTCTGTCAAACAAATAAATAAAATCTTTAAAAAAAAACTTTATTTTGTATCTTGCAAACTGTATATCGTGTTGTAAACTGTTTAATGCTGTGGAAGTCATTCCTTTTTCCATTGCATGCTCAGCATTTCTGGACCATTCATATGTCGCCAGGACAGTTGCTTGTTTCAACACGTTGATCTTCCCACTGTCCCAATAACGGACAGCCCGATTATGCTCAAATAGCTCCACTATAAACAATACTGAGCTAAATATCACTCTACAGGTACCCTTCTGGACATATGTGGGAATCTTTATTTTTTTATTTTTTATTAACACATAATGTATCATTTGTTTCAGGGGTAGAGGTCTGTGAACCATCAGTCTTACACAATTCACAGCACTCGCCATAGCACATACCCTCCCCATCACCCGGCCACCCCATCCCTCCCACCCCGCTCCACTCCAGCAACCCTCAGTTTATTTCCTGAGGTTAAGAGTCTCTTATGGTTTGTCTCCCTCTCTGGTTTCATCTTGTTTCATTTTTCTCTTCCTCCTCCTATGATCCCCTGTCTTGTTTCTCAAATTCCTCATATGTTAAGATCATATGATAATTGTCTTTCTCTGATTGACTTATTTTGCTTAGCATAACAGCCTCTAGTTCCATCCACGTTGTAGCAAATGGCTATATATATATATATATATATATATATATATATATATCGACAGATCTATAGATCTATCAATATATATATCAACAGATGAATGGATAAAGAAGATATATCGATATATCTATAGATCTATACGTCTATAGATCTATAGATATATCGATATATATATATAGAGAGAGAGAGAGAGATCTCACATCTTCTTTATCCATTCATTATCCATTCATCTGTTGATGGACATCTGGGCTCTTTCCATCGTTTGGCCACTGTGGACATCACTGCTATAAACATTGGGGTGCACGTGCCCCTTCGGATCACTACATCTGTATCTTTGGGGTAAATACCCAGTACTACAATTCCTGGGTCATAGGGTAGCTCTATTTTCAACTTTTTGAGGAAACTGCATAAGTGAGAATATCTTTAAAATATCTGTCCGCTGGGTGTTACACACAAACAATGGATATGGAATGCTCATCAGAAACTAATGATGTACTGTGAGGTGACTAATGTAACATAATTTTTAAAAAAAGGTATTCAACAAGAAATTGCCAGATCTTGAGTTAGGTGTGTCTTCAGTTTACTCACTGCCAAATGGCCCTCCATGTTCGCTGTACCCATTCCTTCTCCTGCAGCAGGGCAAGAGGGTCCCCAGACCTCCCCACACATCCAAGGCCCAGGGCTGCCCAGCATCCTAGTCTTTGGCAGATGGTGCACCAGTTTGCCAGGGCTGCCGCAGTATCACTGACTCAGCAGCTTACACAGCAGAAGTTGATGGACTAGGAGAGCATGACTAAGAGAGCATCTGTGGGAGGGCAGGAGAGAGGATGTGGTCAAGGAGAGACTCGCCTGCATGTCCATCTGTCTGTCCTTCTCAGGCTGGATGTCCTCCAAGACATCACCTCCAAGGAAGAATGTGGGGTTAAGCCTCCAGAGAGAACCTGCAGATTATCAAGTCCTGTAATCAACATCTCAGGGATGGCTAAGTGAAGTAGGGAAGGGCAATGGCATCACATCCAGTAGGACATTGCCCCACCTTCTCTGCTTCTTCCAGGATGCCTTCTATCTTCCCTGAAAACATCCTTCCCCCACCCTAGCTGCCCCTCCTTCTCATTCCCCCTTACATTGATTTTCTTCCTGGAATTCCATGACTGGGCTGGAGCTGAGAGAAAGGGGAAGGAAGCATTAGGGCAGGTCTGAAAAATAAGTCAGGTTTCCTATGAAGGGAGTCCAAATTTTCCTACCTCTTACACTTCATTCTTGGTCTCACCATCAATATTCCCCGTGGAGAGTCAGCAATCACCCTCCCACCTTCAGGGCATACCATGTTTGACACAAAGCCAGCATCAAAAAAGGAGGAAGAAGAGGGAGAGGAGAAATAAGACAACAATGGCCAAGATCCCGATCGCCATGGAAAGGTATCTGTTTTCAGGAGCAGGTGGGTCTAGGAATTAGTAAACAATAAAATCTATCATTGAGCTCTTGTTGGATTAATTTACCCATTCGATAAACATTTCTTGTGTGCCTTCCCTACATGAAGCAAGTTCTTGGATGTTTGGGAAACCATAGTAAACATACCCAACAACAGAATCTATGCCTGGGAACCAATACATAGAAGTAGTGTTACACATAGAGATAAATTATAGGATGAAACCATTTACACTGCATTATAAGAAAAGGTTTCTTTAGGGGATGAGCCCTGAGAGAGAAGAAACACCCAGATCTCCGAAGCGCCAGGAGAACTGCCTCCAGGCAGAGGGAACAACATAACCGAAGTCCGAGGTGAGAAAGAGTCGTGTGGTTGTGGTTGTGTCCTAACAACGTGGTCGTGGTGGAAGAAGGAAATGGACTTGAGCTTTTGAGGACAGAAATGATGAGATTTGAGACTGGGTGACGGAGTATGTAGGCACTGGGAGCCGAAGAGGAACATCAAATACCATTCTCAGTGACCTGGTCATTGGAGAGAACGGATAGCACCTACGGAGATGGGAAGATAAGTATAAGGAGGAGGTTTTGAGATCTGTCAGGTAAGATCCCTGCTGAGATGTGTATTAGGTGTCTGAGTGGATGGTATTTTGATCAGGATGGCGTTGAAAATATAGACCGCTCTGGGCAGCGTAGACATTTTAACAATGTTTATTCTTCCAATCCATGAGCATGGAATGTTTTTCCATCTTTTTGTGTCTTATTCAGTTGCTTTCATGAGTGTTCTGTGGTTCCTGGAGTACAGATCCTTTACCTCCGTGGTTAGGTTTGTTCCAAGGTGTTTTATGGTTTTTTGTGCTGTTGTAAATGGAATCGATTCTCTAATTTCCTTTTCTACAGTTTCATTGTTAGTGTATTAGAAAGCAACTGATTTCTGTGCCTTGATTTTGTATCCTGCCACGTTACTGAATTGCTGTATGAGTTCTAGTAGTTTGGGGATGGAGACTTTTGGGTTTTCCACATAAAATATAGACAGAGTTTGACTTCTTCTTTGCCAATTTGAATACCTTTTATTTCTCTTTGTTGTCTGATTGCTGTTGCTAGGACTTCCAAGTACTATGTTGAACAACAGTGGTGAGAGTGGGCCTCCTTGTGGTGTTCCTCATCTCAAAGGGAAGGTGGCTGTCAGGTTTTCCCCATGGAGAATGATATTCACTGTGGGTTTTTCATAGATGAATTTTATGAAGTTAAGGAATGTTCCCTCTGTCCCTAAACTCTGAAGAGTTTTAATCAGGAACGGATGCTGGATTTTGTCAAATGCTTTTTCTGCATCAGTTGGGAGGACCATGTGGTTCTTCTCTCTTCTCTTATTGATTTTTTCTGTCTATTGATTGATTTGTGATGTTGAACCATCCTTGTAACCCAGGGATGAATCCCACCTGGTCATGATGGATAATCCTTTTAATGTACTGTTGGACCCTATTAGCTAGGATCTTGTTGAGAATCTTAGCATCCATATTCATCAGTGGTATTGATCTGAAATTCTCCTTTTTGATGGCTCTTTGCCTGGTTTGGGGATCAGTGTAATGCTGGCTTCATAGAAAGAGACCGGAAGCTTTCCTTCTGTTTCTATTTTTTGAAACAGCTTCAGCAAAATAGGTATTATTTCTTCTTTGAATGTTCAGTAGAATTCTTCAGGGAATCCATCAGGTCCTGGACTCTCGTTTTCTAGGAGGTTTTTGATCATTGCTTCAATCTCGTTACTGGTTATTGGTCTTTTCAGGTTGTCAGTTTCTTCCTGTTTCAGTCTTG